GTATAAACCACGCTTCAAGGGATACGAAAGTATATTTTGCAAAAAATTTGTGAATTGGCCTTTAACTCGATCGAAATCGAGTTGAAAGTCAAGGGCAGACTACTACCCGCATCAACACAAGAATTCTCTATTTTTAAGTCTATTAATACCCTAGAATTGCGATCTAAAGTGTTTTTGCCTATATTTTCAACCCCAAGAATCCTAAGAAAGTTTGAGGTAAAGAAAACAAGGAAGAATTGGCTGATCTTGAAAGATTAACACGTGATAATCACAACAAAATATATTAGGATTAAGATCTCAAGAATCAAGGTAGGAGTTCTTTCTCAAATTTATTCATTGCTGATTAAGGTTATATCATATATCTTTTTCATCCTTATAGTGATATAAATAATTAAGCTACAATGCTTATATGTTCATTTGAATTCATGATTCATTTCTTAAACAAAATACATAAATTTAATTCCAAGATCTATCCATCCTTGATTTAAAATTTAGCTCTTTAACTCCATTCCATATATGTGATATATCTACAAAGTTTTTATATTATTTTTTAATATATTCTTAAATTCTTGAATAAATGGATTATTTACATCCAAAAATCATATGTCTTTGATTGAAGAACCTTGGTTCTTGATTTATAACCTAATCTACACATGTTTTACATCAAAATTTATGTGTTCTTGATTATGAAAACCCTAGTTCTTGATTGCTATCAATTCAAATATTTCTTTTTTTGGGATCTCTTGCATGTTTTCTTAGATTATTCATTTGGAAAAACTATGGAACTATGATTCTTGATTGTAGTTAAATTTTATGAAAAAAATTTGGATTTCATATCTTGTATGGGTGGGTGTGATGAACGTGAATTGCACTCGAATCTATATTATAGAGTATCTAGATGTTTTTTCTAACCTTGAATGGTTTGAAGGTTTTCTATCACTCGTCGTGGTTTGGTGTCTTGCGATGACCAAACTACTATTCGTTCATGATGATTGAGGTCGGGGGTTAATATAATAGTCTTGGGAATAATTCGTCACTGCCGATAGATCGATATATGCCTTTCCTAAACTTTTATGGCCTTGCTGCGGGAATTGATTTGATGGTTTGTAATTGCGGTGTGGTGTGGTGTGAACCAGATATGTTCATGTTGTAGTTTCATGCTAGTTTACCTATGTACATGAGATATAATATTTGTAAATAACTGTTGTATTGTGAATGAGTTTTACTTCTGTAAACTTTATCATTTGGTACCGTAAACTTGAAATCTCATTAAATGTCATTATTTACTTCAAAATTATATATATTATTTTGCAAACTATGACTAAATTTTGCTTAGATTTGAGAAGATTTTTCTACTGGGCTTTATTGCTTACCTTACCATAACATTTTTCAGGTTTTAGTGTTAAGAAGAATACAACGTTAGATGAGCCGATAGATTTGGATGCTAAGGATGATCATAATATGGATTCAGTTGTGGAAGTTTAAGAATGAATTTTAGTTTCTAGAGTTTATATTTGACGGTTTATTTATGTTAAGGATTTATTTTTGTTTTCTTTGGGGATTTATCTAATCAAATGTTGGATTATAAATGGTTTTATTTATTTAATGGTACTTTAGTATGCTCTCATGGTTGGATGTTGTATAGATAGTTAATACCTTTTCAGGGTGGATTTTGGGGCGTTACATTATCGAATCAAGTATTTTCTCTTAATTTACACCATGATGTACAGGCATTCTCAAGGCAATGCGGAGGATAACCCTCGTGCGATGAATACTAAGACTAGCTAGCTTGTTGTTCCATCAGTATCCATGTCCTTAGACCGTCGGAAGGTATTCATCGGAACACCTAGTCGAACTTGTGGACACAGACCCTATGCTTGGCAAGCAAGGGGAGGATCCTTGCCGCAAGTTAATGGAACTGATAAAAGAACAGTTGGGTGCTCGACTGAAGAAGATAGAAAAGCACTATGTCAACATCATCAACTAGCTTAAAGAATTCGAGCTCTTGGCCAGAACCTCCAGAGATGGGGCCACCTTAAGAGGGGCGAGGCCGTCAGAGCACCCACAAAATACGCTCCTTGGAGCTATCAAAAGACATGTCCCAAGTCGATCTACGTCACTACTTAGAGTAGAAGGCTACAAACTCCCTTGCCTCCAAGCGAAAGCGTCCCTTGGGGGCCAATCTCGCTTGAGGGGAGAAAATGGAAAAATCCTTGCCTTGCGAGGAAATTCACAACTAACTGTCATAGAAGGAAGGAGTAGAGGCATCTGTTGAAGGATTTACCCTCTCAGTTAAGGACATGTGGGGTCCACAGGTTCAACTATCGACGACAAAGGTATCTGTACAATTACAATGACACTAAAGATGATCTCGTGAAGTCCCCTTTTGTTTAGAGCATCCGAGAAGTAGAGATGCCAAGGAAATTCACCATGCCCTGATTCAAGTTCTACTATGGAATGACTGATCTGGAGAGGCACCTAGATAGTATAAATAATTCATGTCCCTCTAAGATACAAACCAAAGGTTGTTGTGTCGAGTCTTCTTGATAAACATTGGAAGCACTAATATGAAATGGTACAAAAGTTGTCCCTGAGAACATAAGCTCCTGGAAATAAATAACCAAACTATTCTCGACTCGGTTCATCACCAGTAGTAAGAGGTTGAAGGATTTCAATGCTTTTATCATGATGCGGTAGAAGGAATGAGAGACTCTTTGACAGTACGCAACCTAATACTGACAAGTTGTCAATGAAGTAAAAGGCTGCATGGAGAAAATGGCTACCTCCACATTTTGGCTTGGGCTCTCCCGAGAAAACAGACTTGTATCAGCCACTAACTAAGAGAACCTCATCGACATGGGGTACCTTATGGATCGTATCAACAAATAATCCAAGGTCGAAGACAAATGCCACGAAGAAGAAGAAAGAGAAGGATCCATAATAAGAAGCAAGATTCCTCTCAGACTCCCACCCAAATCTCTTTCGCGAGGGTTCACATAGTCTTCAAGGGAGTTGATTTGCAAGTTCCTCCACAAAGATAAAAGCAAGATCCTTTCTTCAAATGGGCTCCAAAGATGTAGGGTGACCCATCCACCTAGAGTTCAACCGCTCAGTGTTTCTATTATTGGGATACTGGACACCTTACTGAGGATTGTCGAGTGTACAAGACATTTCTCAAGAAACTTTCAGGAAGGGCATCTCTAGGAGTTCATCAACGATGACAAAGCCCAAGAAGGTGAGAAACACCCTGCCATGGTCACTAAGGAGGCAATAATAGTCATCAAGGTAATCTACGCGCGTCACATGAACGGCTAATCAGTAATTCACTAAGTTCCGACTTGTAGAAAGTTGCTCAATCCATGCGGGTGGAGGAAGGAAAGACTGAACTTCCTCTTGCCAAGAAAGCCCACAACAATATAAACTCCACTTGGGAGGATCTCTTTCTCGATTATAGTAAGGGTCAACACATTCCCAGTGGAGTTGTTTGTGATTAACCTCGACACCCCTTACAATGCAATAATGGGAAGGACATGATTACATGCCTTGAAGGTAGTGCACTTATCTTACCACTAGAAGTTCAAATTTCCCACCCCTCGGGGGATTATGGAGATATACGGAGACCAGACCACCTCAAAAAGTTGTTTCTACACCGCCGTCAAGGCCAGGGTGAAAGCAAAAGGAAAAGAACAGGACCCAAAAGTAGCTGTGGCTAAAAAACAATCAAAGTACGATCGACTCAACGTCGAAGAACCCTGGGTTGATTAGTCTAACCGATCCACAAAAGAGCTCACTATGGTCTACCTCCACTTGAGTGACAAAGAAAGATTTTTTTTATCATTGGCTCTTGCTTAACAGGAGTCGAATAAGAGGAGATTGTTGGTTTCCTTCGAAGCAATGCCGATGTATTTTCTTGGACTCCTAAAGAGATGCGGGGATTAGACCATCATCTGCCATCGATTATATGTAGATCCAGCATATAAGCCCATCAAACAAAAGCCTCGGTGGTTGACACCCCACCATGAACAAGTTGTCAACGAAGAAGTTGATTGGCTGCTAGAAGCTGACTCCATTAGGGAGGTGAAGTTCCCAGAGTGATTATTTAACACCGTATGTGCCAAGAAGAATAATGGGATGTCATATGTCTGTGTGGACTTTAACGACCTCAATAAGGCCTTCCCCAAAGATAATTACCCTTATCTAAGATGGATCAGTTGGTGGATTCAACCATAGGGCACGAGCATATGACCTTTATGGATTCTCGGGGTAGATACCTCTAGATCCCGTTACACGAGGCAAATGAGGAAATAATCGCATTTATAACTCCCAGGGGTTTACTATTATAAGATTATGTCATTTGAGCTGAAGAATGCAATAGTCACATACCAATGATTAATGAAAAAGATGTTAAAAAATTAGATCAGAGTCACCATAGATGTCTATATTGATTACATGCTTGTAAAGAGTCAAGACCGAGGGAATCATTTAAGAGACCTAGCTGAGACTTTCCACAATATTGAACAAATATACTTACAAATTCATACCACAAGATATAACAAATGAAAAGTAAAAATATAATACAAAATAATTCACGTGTAATAATTAGTTACATCAAAGGTACAAATTAAGATTTTTAATTTTAATTTTTAATTTGATAATGAAAAAAACTTGCTTTTAAATTATAATTAATTTTTTTTTTGTTTGGTACATCAAGATAACACAATGCTTTTACTTTAATTAACAAAATTGTGAATTTATGACTTTGTGGACCTAAACTTTTAAGAAACACTTTACTTTTAGGCTGGACAACAAATATTCTCTTCTTTTTTTTTTTTAAACACAATCATCCGTAAATTACATGTAAATTACATCTATCGATTAATCTCAAGAATTTCTAGTGTCCATTAATTTTAAAAAACATCAACGAGAGTCAAATCCTGATGTCTAAGTCTCCGGTTGGTCTAAATCCAGCCCACATTGCTGGTCAACTCATCCGGGTTGACAAGTCCCACTTTCCGATCCACGGAACAACCCAATTCTTCTCCCTCTCCCCCTCTCTCCAGGGCAGTGTCCGTCCAACACGCTCTGGTCAGACCACCGTGTGTCTACATTTCTCTGCCTTCTGAAAACGAGCGTCCAACACGTCCCAAGAAGAAGACCAGTCATTCCCTTTCTCTCTCTAAACCCTCTCTCTAAACATAATATTCCTTGCATGTATAAAAACAATGCACCAACTAGAGGGTTTTTTCTACATACGATGCGGAATTGCTTTCATTTGAATCAGGAAGTTACAGATTTTGTGGGAATTTGGAATCATTAGTTTTGTAGAGCTTCGATATGATCGCCTGCCAGCATCGGAGCGCCAGAGAAATCATTTCCGACGCCGGTGCCGGTGCCGCTGCAGGTCTTCTCTCTCTACCAAAATCCATTCTTTTTCTGCAATTGTACATGTATATGATGGAAGCTAGGGTTTATTGTTTATGCATTATTCTAATTTGTTACGTTGATAATTCCGTACATTTTATGTAATCCTGTGCAAAAACATTGCTATTTGATGTGCTACTGGATGTTGGGTTGTGTTTATTTTTGTTAAAATTTGTGCATTTTGGTTTTTTATGCTAAAGCCGTTGAAATTAATTACCTGTTTTTTGTTGGTTGTGATACGTGATTTTTATGCCAAACAGGTGCTATAGCTGCTACTTTTGTGTGCCCATTGGATGTGATCAAGACTAGACTACAAGTCCACGGCCTGCCTGAAGTGCCCCAATCAGGTCGCAGAGGTCTGTTGGACTCCTTATGCTTTGGCAAATTTTGTTTCTATGGTTAGGTACTATGCAGTTAATTTATTTAACTAGAAGCTTCTGCATTGCTCAAGTGGAATAGTGTGTAAAGAAGCAGCATTTCAAAAGNTAATTTATTTAACTAGAAGCTTCTGCATTGCTCAAGTGGAATAGTGTTTAAAGAAGCAGCATTTCAAAAGATGTTGTTTTAATATGAAAATTATGCCAATGGACTGAAAAGCTCTGGACAAATCTTGACATGTAAGAGATTGTGAAAAGTATTACTTATCTCCAGTATATCAGTTGTTTAGAAGTGTAGCCAGTAATTTTCAACTAGCTAAGCAAGTCTAAAGGGAGAGATATATTGAAACTTGGAACTTTGTGTGATGAAAAGTTTGCTTTTGATTTTAGTCATTGCCGAGATCATGGTCATTCTACTGACATTGCTAAATGTTAGAGTGCCATTAGTGTATGCAAATGGAGATATAAGCATGATAAAAATTTGGCTCCATCAACTTTAAAATTAGGCAAATGTGGTGGAGACTATCAATCAGTTTGGTGTATGGCTCTTTAATAATCAACGTGGATGTGACATTGTGGATATTTACTGCTAGCTGGAAAACATTAGGCAATAAGATGTGGCTAACATTGTGCGGCTTCAGTAGTATGCACCATTGGCATGTCATACCTCAATTTCACTTCCTTGTCACTTCACTTATATATTTATTACATAGCACATTGGTATGATCGGTGCTAACATGAAACTAGTAGGCAATGAAGTGCCCCCCTTCCCTTCCCTTTTTTTTAAATTATTTTCCCTGTTTTGCTCCAATTAGGGATTTTCTTTTGGTTATATTAACTAATAGTGTGGCTTTAGGCACTACAAAGTTTTGCTCGACACAAATGTTCCTCTTTAGTGAGTTTTAGGATTTAGCAGGCTGCAAATGGTTGGGTAATAAACAAACAGTATACAAATAACACTTTAAGTAACTTCTTCCTTTAATGACTTCTTAATCATTTTCCTGCCCTATGTTGGGGTCTGTTCATCTGCATCATAGCGCAGATTTAGCTAGCAAGTGCACGATAGATGAATCTACTTTTGGCTATTGGAACAGACAGATGATTCATCTACGTCTTCAGCTAAATTTGCAGAATCTACTGTTGCATATTAGGATTTTTCAAACAATGATTTCTTTGTTCATCTTATTTTTATTTGGTTTTGAAAAGGGACACCAGGCACAAAGAATTTTCTTCCATGTCAAGTTGTTCATTTTATTCTTTTTTTATGGCATCACTTATCTTTGTGTGACATTTTCTGCTCTCACTCTTCTGGCAACAATCAGGTAGTATCATTGTTACAAGCCTACAAAACATAGTACGAACCGAGGGTTTGAAGGGACTGTACCGTGGCCTTTCGCCTACATTGGCAGCATTACTTCCAAACTGGGCAGTGAGTATCACTTTTCTTTAGTAACTTCCCTAAGACAAGTAACTGGCGTCTCTCCTGGAGGATTCCGCCTTTTTTGTTATGGATGGAGGTTTAAAGACTTTATTTTTTTATTTTCTGGACAACTTAGGGTTAATGGATTAATGTAAGACGTTTTATTTATGTACAGAAGATGGAGTCGGGATGTGGTCTTTCTAGTGCAAATGGCTTGAGTCTCATCAATTTCTTTCTTATTCTTTTTCTTATGTAAAGTTCTTTCCTGGTGGAATGCTTGCTCCCCCACCCCCAAAACAAAAAATAAAAAAATAAAAAAAATTAACTGGGTCACTAGGAGTTAGGAAAAGTTGTTAGTTTCATCTATTATTAGATGAATTCAGCTGGGACAATGTTTGGTTGATTTCAAATTTGAATTGTTCAGTTGAGGATGACTGCCAACAAAAAGTGGTTACGTTAACAGACTTATTTGAAAACTATATATATGGAGTCAATTTATCTTGATGTCTTTGACCATAGGCTAGTGTTCTCTGCCACTTGCATGTAGCTCCTTTTGTGAAAAGTGCTCTAAAAAAATCAAATTCATCTTTTTCCTTATATCAATTTGTTTTCCTTTTTTGGGTTGAAGAGATTTCTTCGCTTCCGTATTCATTGCTTCAATTTGGAAGAATAAGAATTTCTGGGGAACTCGTNTTTTTCCTTATATCAATTTGTTTTCCTTTTTTGGGTTGAAGAGATTTCTTCGCTTCTGTATTCATTGCTTCAATTTGGAAGAATAAGAATTTCTGGGGAACTCATCCCTTCTTTCATCCTTCTCACCACAGGGTGTAAGCAATTTTCTTCAAAACAAACTTATTTCGCTAATCTAGCACCAATTTGCACTATTGCTACATTTTGAGTCGACTTCAAGTATTAGACTTCAAATTATTTCTGATTTTGTTGAAATGCACCATGATTGTTGCTGATCTTTTCACTTCCAGCAAATACATTCAAATCCCTTATTTTATTTCCTTTTATATCTCCCCATGTGACAGAAACATTTATTTCGTATGTAGGTGTACTTCACAGTTTATGGACATCTTAAAAGCGTGCTGCATTCACATGGTTGGTCTTTTACGATGTTGTTCACTTCTCAATATGTGCTGTTTTCTTCCAAATCTATGTGGCATACAGTTTTTTTTATTATTAGTTATCAATGAGCCAGGAAGACTGCTGAAATTTGATAGCTTTATATTGTGGCAATGCAGTGGATAGCAGTGGTCAACTTACATTTGGTGCAAATATGATAGCTGCTGCTGGTGCTGGGGCAGCCACATCAATTGCAACAAATCCATTGTGGGTTGTTAAAACCCGTCTCCAAGTAGGTTGGGTGTTCTTTTGTTTGCGATTCCTGCCAAATATACTCAAGCATTTAACTAGTATATGAACTCATGCATTTAGTGGTTGCCTGCTTGACCATTCCAGTAGCGAGGTTCTATCACTATGCATTTGTTAATTTGTAATTATGGGTTGGAGAGGTGGCTGCAGTTCCACTGCACTTCCTTTCTTCTTTACTGGATGTTTGCAGACAACAGAGCTTCAGGAATATCCCCGATTGATCTGCTGGAGAAGTACGATTTTCAATGAAGAAATTTTCAAAATTATAATTTGTCTTCTAAACCCCAAATCCTACGACAGGAAATGTGGAATTGTTCAAACTTGTTAAATTGTTGTTTTCTAGGCCTCTTGGCTATTTTCCTGGTGTACTTATAATTTTGCCATTTTAGCTCATTATATGTCCAGAATCTTGTGGTGAAAAATTTCAAATGCCTATGTGAATGATGAAAGTTTAGCCTTAACATTGTGTTTGCTGTATTAAATAGCAAAAATTTAGGTCATTACAGAAGTTTTGACATGACCACCTGATTTTGTACGTCATTAATATGTTTACTAATTGCTATAGGTTTGATAAATCGAACTCTCCCTAGGTAGGAACTTTAGCTTGATTTGCGAGCTTATTCTGTTTCTCTCTTGTTATAGACACAGGGAATGAGGCCAGGTGTGGTTCCTTACAAAGGCATATTTTCTGCTTTGAAACGGATTGCACACGAGGAAGGAATCCGAGGATTGTATAGGTTAGTGCTTCTTAGTTCAGTATCCAAAATGTAAAATTTGGAGATTTCATTTTTTCGATGCACTCAAGGCACGGAATAATTTTGCTGACAAGTATGAGGCACCGAGTGATTTGTTGATTGCTGTACCTTACTTGTCCTCATCTTTTCCTCTGTGGAGATATGTGTTAATTAATTCCATGATGTCTAAAGCTTAAATCATCTCAAAATAATTTTCAAATGGCTACTAGATCATTTGTATGTCATTATGTTCACTATATTTGGTCTCATAGAAATTCTTTGGTTCGTACAGTGGCCTTTTGCCTTCACTAGCTGGGGTTAGTCATGTTGCTATCCAATTTCCAACATATGAAAGGATCAAGTCTTACTTGGCTAAAAGGGGTAATGCTTCATTTTTCTGAATTTTTTATTTTGTTGTAATGCAATAATTTCTCTATAAATTGTTAAATTTATCGGCTGTGATCTTGTTGGTTTGAAAATGTCAGATAATACAACTCCCAGTGAGCTAAGCCCTGGAAAACTTGCCATTGCCTCGTCTCTTTCGAAAATAGTTGCCTCCGTAATGACTTATCCGCATGAGGTGTGTTTTTCAGTTGTATTCCCTTACTTGGAATCAGCAACATGTTTTGCCTTCATTCTTGTTCCTTATTTTTGCTGAGAACTTTGGCATCTTNCAGTTGTATTCCCTTACTTGGAATCAGCAACATGTTTTGCCTTCATTCTTGTTCCATATTTTTGCTGAGAACTTTGGCATCTTTATTTCGTAGATGTTGTAATAATCAAATATCCATACCAGGTTGTGCGTTCCAGGCTTCAAGAACAAGGGCAAGTTAGGAATGCGGNAACTTTGGCATCTTTATTTCGTAGATGTTGTAATAATCAAATATCCATACCAGGTTGTGCGTTCCAGGCTTCAAGAACAAGGGCAAGTTAGGAATGCGGAGATCCACTATGCAGGTGTTATCGATTGTATAAAGAAGATCTACCTAAGGGAAGGTCTTCCTGGCTTTTACCGTGGCTGTGCCACCAATCTATTGAGAACGACTCCTGCTGCTGTCATTACATTCACCAGTTACGAGATGATTCATAGGTTGTTGAATCGGGTTTTACCACCAGATGAGAAGCATTCAGAAACCCACCCCAAACCCGATGGCCATGTCAAGCCTAACAAAGTGTCAAAAGCAGGTGGAGAAGACGATGACAATAATTTACCTCAATCCCAAAACCCTTCAAATGAAAGAACTCTAATCCCATTTGGAAAAACGGATAGGCTAAGAGCTGGGCACTGATTAGAGTAGAGTTGTCTCCTACATATAGAAACTAGCCCTTAAATTGGTGCATTTTTTGTTGTTTTATTGCCCTTATTGTTGTCTTACAAAGTTTTGTTTGTTAGCTTCATGTTTTTGTTTGTAATTTCTTCATTTGGATGGGGAAAAACCTTGTTAGAGCATTTCTTTTTTATAGGCTAATAAAAAATAAATTGGTCCGTTTACGTACCGAATATGTTTATATTTCTCTTTTGTACAATTTCAGTACTGAATCAATTAGAAAACAATAAAAAGCAGTCAGGTAGCCATTGTTCTATGTGAATATATAATGCTAGCTATTTGTTCATGATGCCATTGCGTATGTCAAGAGGATTTTTCTAATCCAACTTCAAATCAAGCTTGGCTTGAGCTGGAAGTGACCAAGAAGGACAAAATAGGCAAAAAAAAAAAAAAAATAGTTAATGAAAGTAGGATCAAGTGAATTCATGGCAAACATTTAGGATCACCTGCTAGTTACATGTATCGATGAAATTGGAATTTTTCCCAATGAAACTAGAATTTTTCTCACACGTAGATCTTTGTGGGTTAAGGAGGACTAATATCACTTTGCACTCCAAAAGATGCTTTGATTCTTAATTTACACCCTCAAACATTAAGAACTTCAATTTGCACTCTCAATTTTTATGAATTGGTAGCAATACGGAGCTAACTCAAACTTTCATTCAGTTTTTCACCATAAATTGAAGTATGTGAGTTGTGAGTGCTTCACACATGGTTTTATGTGTAAATTCAGGTTGTTGGCGCCTCACATAAGTTGCACATTATAAGGTTGCCAAAGATCGTAATTCCTGAACAAGCAATCGAAAAGATTCTGGAGCATCTTTAGGATTAGGTATTGTTCCTCCAATGATCGTAGTACCAAGTACTTCCTGGCGAGCTCTAATATGATCAGATTTATAAGTAAGCATCTCTTGTAAAATATGAGCAACGCCAAATCCCTCAAGAAATGGTGCCAAATTAATTGTAGACGAAGATATACAGTGATTGACATACTTCATCTTTATGTCTGAAACACTTGCACCTCACATATTTTAATTTATGATGAAAAATTGTTCAACAGGCTAGGTCAGGTCCACATTGCTACCAATTCGTATTATTAATGGGTCCAGGGGCAAATCTATTCGATAATGATTTTCAATTTTAACCCCGGGTATTTCCATTCTGTTCTACATCGGCTGATTGGGATCAATTTGGTACAACGATTCTAATTTATATGTTCATAGGTTTATTTGGTTCTTTCAACAGACAAAACCAAAACTTCATGGAGCAAAAGCTGAGCCATTTCTAAAACAATCTCCAAAATATAAATGTCAGTTAAGTACAAGGATGGCCACTTCAAATTTTTTTTTCAATAACCGAGAACCTTACTAACCAACACGTATTCTTTAGACTGTAGTTACATGTTTGTGCATGTTGATTCACAATTAATACTAGTCGGGTCAATTAAGATGTCTACTGCAAGACATAAATTGAGGCTAAACTTTCAATATGTACTACCATGAAGTGTTAATGCCTTCTTCATTTACTATGTACATTGCCCTTTTCCTTAAATTTATATTTTCCATAAGAGGAATACAGCAAAAATGAGAAGATAAAAAATAAAAATGTTCACCCTAGTTATTGCAAATGATACTATGGGTGTAACTCTGTCTTAACATATACCTCAACATATACTAAGCAAAATAAAGAAGAAGATCACCCACTTGTACTGGTTGTGGTGGAGCTACTAACCCATATATCAGCTACAGAATTTGGTGAACCTGGCACCATGTTAATACTCCTCAACAACACAACATCCTCAGATTCAGGTGAAGGAGGCGGTCTTACACTTTCCAATCCATCATTATTGTCCTCTTTTTTCTCAGCTCTGTACTCCTCACCACCATGAATTTCCTTCAAAGCTTCCAAAACCTCATCCATGGTAGGCCTCATTTCCTTCTCAAGCTGCAAACACCGAAACGCCAACTCTGCCACTGAAGTAGTCATCCTGTTAACTGTAGTATCCAATTCGAATCCGAGAGATGAATCAATCAATTCATTGAATGCACATCTCTGGATCCTGTTTACTGCTAAGTTAGCCAAATTAATCTCATGTCTATGCCTGCCTATATCAACGGCTGGCATTGATGATATGAGCTCTACAAGGACAACTCCGAAGCTGTAAACATCACTCTTATCAGTGAGTTGGTAACATTGGTGATACTCCGGATCAACATAGCCCGGAGTCCCCTGTGGAGCAGTTGAGACATGACTGACATCAGTGGGGAAGAGTCTCGAGAGCCCAAAATCTGCTACTTTAACACAAAAACTGTCATCAAGGAGTATGTTATTAGTCTTGACATCGCGGTGTATGATATCAGAGGCATGGAGGTAAGCCAATGCATTGGCAGTTTCTATGGCAATGTTCATGCGGATAGGCCAAGTGAGTGAGCCAGCTGTTGCTCGGTCGCCATGCAGATGATCAGCAACGGTGCCATTTGGAATGTATTCATAAACGAGGAGGAGCTCACGACTGTGGCGAGAGGTGCAACCATAGAGGGAGACAAGATTCTTGTGGCGCAAACGGGTGAGGATTTCTACTTCATTCATGAATTGCTCCACTCTTTTGTAATTGTGCTCATACAGGCGCTTGACTGCAACGTCCCGGCCATCCCGAAGTTTTCCTAATTGAGAAAGATAAAGATTGGCTCATTCATGTTATGTTAATTGAATCAAGTTTAGCTCAATCCATTGTAACGAACTTATTGATACAATAGTGTTGGTTATCTTGCCACAGAAATGAACTCTGAAATTCTTACCATGGTACACAGTTCCAAAACCTCCATCTCCAAGTTCTTTACTCGCATCAAAATTATTAGTGGCCTCTTCAAGTTCGGCATAGGAGAAGACAGGGACCCCAAAGTAGATGCTACCGCCTTCGAGGTCTGGTTTTGAGGAGGGATCGGAAGAAGTGTTCCTTGATAGTAAGTATGATATTTTCTTTCGGCGTCGAATAATAAAGCAAATAATGATGACGATCACCCCGGACATAACTGAAGACATTAAACTAGAGTTCCTGAGTTTTGATATAAAGTCACGTTTATGAACACTCGTTTAAACTATAAGAAAAAAAATGGGAGAAAAGTTTAATTAACTAATAGCAGTGGATAAAATTTTTGAGCATAGAGAAGAATCCTCCTAGACTAGGAAGGATGATACATCATCATGCGTAAACGTATAAATTCAAGAGAAATATTACCTATGAGTAGGATGAGTTTTAATTTACTTTTTCCTGCAATAGAAGTCAATCAGAAGAAGAAAGTTAGTCCAAGCACAGATAAAATCAATGTAATGAACTTTGCATTTCACACCCTAAAACCATAACAAAGTATCATTTAAAAACTGTCCAATTACACAACAAATCCAAAAGGGTCAAAATTTTACAGAGAAAGAGAAGATGTTCAATCCTGTTCTGCATCATACCTTGGCCTTTGTCACAGTGGAATTCGTTACCGCTGACAGTTTTACACAGCCCTCCAGCAAGGTTACACTCAGAACACTGCTCGGACACATGTAATTGAAGAGAGAACTCACCAGTAAATAGTCCAAAGAGGTTATTGGGATCAAAATCCCCGTTGAAGTTTGCCTCATTAAGTGGAAGCTGTATAACTGAACAATAAGATGGAAGATTCCTCGGAGTCATACGGCGATTATTAGGATGTGTGTAGTGGATGGAGAAATCAGGGCAGGAGTCGTAAGATTGGTAACTACTGTTGAAATATTCATCTTTCTTCTGAGCAAATTCAGGATTTTTGGTGCATTTGAACAAGGTGTAATTGGGAGAGAATGTATAGGAAATAGAAGGAGTGCTGGGAAGCCTATTATAGAAAGAATCACAACTGCGATTCTCTAAGAGATGCATAAGCTGTCGGTCAAGCACCAAAACGGTATCATTCTGCAACATTTTTATAGCTTCAGACCACCGTCCATTTATCTCCAGTTGGATCTTTGGAGTTCGCCTTGAATCACAGTCCATCGTGCACAATCCGCACTCGGGCCGCGACATTCTGGTGAAAGGGAAGCCCATCACACCGAAAGACCCACACGCGAATGACACTGGGCAGTCATGGTGGGTTTGCTTTCTTTCTTGAGCATTGTTAAGAACCACTAGACGAGAGAGAATGAAGAAAATCAAGAAAGAAGACAGAGCCATTCTGAAATCCCAGTAAAACAAAACCCAAGATAACAAACCACAACAATCACAAAGAACAATTCAGCTCTCTCTTCTTCTTCTTTTTTTGATGTTCTTTCATAATTATATTTAGATGTTTGATGTTTTAAACACGGCAGTTGACTCAGAAATTTGGGTATGGAAGACTTGTAGAAGCAGAGTTAGGAGAACCATGTGGGGTTCTGATGAAAATATCAGCACACATTCATTGGCCATCCTTCTCAGAAAAGTTAACAAAGACTACGAATGGAGTGGTTTCATACTCAACTTCCTCGATGACCAGGCAGCTGAAGACTAGACTTTGATTCTTGACTCTTCAAAAGATGATATTTCCAAACTCTGTGAGAGAACCAAGAAATTGTATTGCAGAGAAAAAAATCCATAGCTATGATGAATCGTCAAAAGAACAGCGAAAGGTTTCATCTACCATAAATTTCGGGTTGACCCTCAAATTTCCATGTGAAAAATAGGTGTCCATAGAAATTTCTCTATGGGTCTCTTTCAAAAGCAATAGAAACTTGGGTAAATTGTAAAAGAGTACACTAAATTAGATTTATTTGGTAAAAAATATACGCTAAAAAATATAGAATTATTAAGTACTTAATTTTGATACATATTTGTATCCAAGTACATAATTTAAATTTATTTATTTTTATTGTGATATTTTTACCCTCCATTAATCCATGTGTATTTAATGTACCATTTTTCTTTGAAAAATAGTGTATTAAACATCTTCTAGTTTTATGGGAGAACTTTAATATATATATATATATATATATATATATATATATATATATATACGTTCTTATATATACATAAATACATATTTATATATTATAAATACTTATGTATGTATGTATATATATACTTGTTGTTAAATCTTTTATCTAAATTTTGAATTATCTTTTAATGCACTTTGATTCATGTATTTTTTTTTAGAAAATGATTTTATTTTCTAATTAATTTAATATCCGAATAGTGTAATAATGTAACAATATAAAGTGTAACAGTGTAACACTAACAATATAACAATAATAGTGTAACAAGTTATTTACACAAAATATTGTACTATTACATTTTATCAAACATATAGTTTCATATAATTTCATTCAAAATAGTCCATTTTCGTTTTGAATTTGTTACCATATACACAAAAATACTGAACACTTTTTTTATTACAATGTATTTGTTACATTGTCTTTGTTACAGTGTATTTATTATACTATTATTGTTATACTATTACATTATTCGGATATTAAATTAATTTAAAAAAAAATATTTTTCAAAAAAAAAAAAAAAACGTTTGAATCAAGGTGCACTAAATATAATTTGAAAACAAAATCACTTTTAAAAAAAAATACGCATGAATCATGGTGCATTAAAGATAATTCAAATTTAAATAAGATATATATATCTATATAATAAGTAGAACGATTTTGAATTCAAGAGATAAAGAGTGACTCAGATTATTTCGAGATCAAAAAAGGCATCATCCAAACGGCCGAAGATATTTCAAACTGTCTCAAGTTATTGACGTCTCAGATCGTTTCGATCCGACGTACCATATTAGCTCTTGAAATTTTTTACCGCTCAAAACTTTTAGTTTCCAAAACTAACATCCTTAAATTATTTTTCCAACCCAATCAAATCCGGCAATAAAGCAATCTCTAATTCCTCAACTCTGTCTCTCTCTCTCTCCCTAAAATACATATTACAACTCTTATCATTATTTTTCTGATTTTATTTTCTATGTTAAGGGATCACTTTCTATACTGAGACATTGACTGTCTCTCACACTCTGATCTTTCATGATTCTCTTTTCAAACTGAGACACATGTCTCCCCAAAATTCTATCTTAATGCAGTTGTTCTTCATCTTTATTGTTCATATCACACACACATCTTTATTGTACATATATATAGTATAAATATAGAAGACATACTATATCTATATGTTATATCTAGAGAAAATTTCATCTAAACACTATGTAGTTGAGTCTAAATTCAATGAGAACTCCTGTAATAATAATTTTTGTCTCTATCAGCAAATCAAATAATAATTTAACTAAATATTTTGTGAAAATACAAAAATTACCCTTTATTATGTAAATAGACTAAAATGTCATCAATTGTTTTTTTATTATATATGCGCTAGTTAGCCAACAAACGTAATTTCAATCATTATGTTATTCCAATAAATTTTTTATTTTAAAACGTTGTATTATAACTTTGTTACAATATTAGTCATCATATTATCACTCATTTGGCTACATAATCAAATTTTTTATAATTTTTATATTTTTTAATCATAATAATTTTTATAGTTAAAAAATTATTTTTCTAGAATAAAAATTACAATTGATAAAATCAATGTCAAAATCTCATCAATTTCTAATTCATCTGTTGTCATATGTCCTCCACAATGTCGCCCGACCGTTCCTCACACATCATACTTCATATATAAAATTTAAAATTATTTGATAAAATTTAATATTAATTGAATAAATTTGATCTTAATTTTGATAAATTTAAATATTAATTTAGTTTTAATTTGATAAAATTAAATATTAATTTGATTGAATTTAATGTTAATTGAATAAATTTGAATGTTTTTTTAATAAAATTAAATGTTCATTTGGTGTTAAATAAAAGAAATGACATTAATTTGATAAACTTAAATTTTAAATTAATGGAATTTAATATTCTATTTAATAAATTAAATAGTTTAATTTAATAAAATTGAATGTCAATTTGATGTTGATTTGATAAAAATAAGTAATAACTTAATATTAAATTAAAGAAAGAATATTAATTTGATGAAATGAAATATTAAATTAATATAACTAAATGCTAATTTGATAAAATTAAATACCAATTTTGTGTTGATTTGATGAGATGAATTGTTAATTTAGTTTAAATTAAATAAAGAAAATTAATTTGATAAAATTGAATATTAAATTGATTAAAATAAAGGCTAATATAATAGAACTGAAAATGAATGAAATGAAATTTCAGAATCAAAAGAGGGTATTGTTAAAGTTTGGTCTATTTACAAGGGGTGTTGTTAAAGTTAAGTTTATTTATAAGGGGTGTGGATAAAATTTACCCTAGAAAATACTCTTAGATATTTCTATAAATCAATCATTGTCATTAACGGTGTAATTCGATAATCACTAATAGAGAGTGACAACGAAATTTCAAAATCGGAAGGAGGTATCATTGAATTTAAACTTAACTAAAAGAGGTCTAAATGAAATTTTCTCTTATATCTATACAAATATATATAATAAAACACATAGGAAGTTGAATTTTATCCCCTATACATTTCCCTCCTCCAAAACCATGACATCACTCATTTCTATCATATGTTCAATCATTCAATATTTGATGAACTTATAATTTAACTTAATTTTTATTTTAGATATTATCCATACACGATAGTATAGATTTGTTAAAAAAATTTATTGAATTATATATTTTGAGAAAATTTTGTCAATATCTTTAAGAAAATAATGGGTTGGGTAAAAATAAATTTAGAATGATTTAATCAAATAAATGAAGAAAAGAAAATTTATTATTTAATATAATGATATTAATTTTTTAGGACTCGAATTTTTTGTTCTATTGTGCCTTCAGGCACGGGTTATGACTAGTATATATATATATATATATATTTACATGTATTAACAAATACACATGAATCAAATGTGCATTAAATACGTATTTATATATATTAATTAAAACACATGAATGAAGGTGTATTAAAGATAAGAGATTTTGAATTAAATGACCCTAAAATGGGCATTTATGTCATTTTAACTCACATTTTATTTTATGTACTTTTTGTCAAATAAGTCTAATTAGGTGTACCGATTTCCGAAGAACCCTAGAAACTACAGAAGACAAGGTTAGACATCTCTACTACTAATACTTTATCTGGATACGGGCCTCGAGTGCTACTGTCAATAGGGTTGGGTAAGTTCAAAGTCTGTCTGTTCGGCCCAGAAAATGTGGCCCGAGTTAGACACAATAGAACTCAACCTGATTATAAAAAATTAATAGGGTTTTAAGGGGGCAGCACCACTTTTAGAAATTATAGGACAGAAAATACTATTTTTAAAAACACAAGTCAAAAAATACACAACCCCTAACAAATCTCTAAAATACCCCTTTTAGTAAAATAAAACTGATTCTTATATTTTTGCCTCCACAACCACAACTTAAGGGATCTTATTCTTGATGTTATGATTGTCCATTCCAATTCCTCCATCTTCAACGTCACAGAAAGTAGAAACCTCAAAGGGAAGGAAAAAGTTACAATTTGACATTGCGACCACCAAAACAAACTTTACACTATCACCCATTTTCTAATCCTACCCTACCATTAACGTATCTGGAACCTTCCCTCTCTGAAATCTAAACCATCAAAAATACCAAAGACCCACATGAGAATCCAGAAAGAGAGAGAGAAACAAAGATGGTGATTCCCGGTTTCTTGCTTCTCTCTAATTCAGAAACCCTTTCTCTCTTTGAAGTTTAAATCCATCAACAATTCCAGATAGGCTCTGCATATAGTCCAAGAATAGATTTTAGAGAGAGAGGGAGAGAGAGATGAAGCTTGTTTTCTTGATTCTCTTAAGGAATTGGAATAGACAATCATAATCGAAATTTAAGGGATCCCTTAAGTTTCATTGATTCAAAATTTTATGTTGATCGTTGAATAGGATGTGAAAATCCCTTTGAATAAGTGATGAGTTTTTTGATGGGTTCACTGTGAATAAGGAGAAATATCGATATCAGACGGTGACGACTATACTGAAATTCATTGCTATAAAGGAAGATCATTGTGTTTCTCCCAACGTTTTTATTTTATCTATTTTTTTCCCCTCAATTACCATTCTACTTTTGGTGCTTAGTACTACATGCACACCAAGTGTTCAATCATTTGCCAAAAAAAGACAAAGAGGCCATATATATTGTGACATGTGTCATGTCAATGTATGCAGTGTGACATTGATTTGCAGCGATATTGGTTTGTAGCAGTGTGAATTTGTTTTGTAACATTGTAACATTTTCTAGTACTAGTGTGACATTGTCTTGTAACACTGTGACATTATCGTACAAGGCAGCAAATCATCCTCCGAATCAGAATTATCATCTTGATTATTACATTGTGTCATGTGTCATGTCAATGTATGCCGTGTGACATTGGTTTGTAGCAATGTAAATTTGGTTTGTAACAATTTGACATTATCGTGCAAGGCAGCAAATCATCATCTGAATTAGAATCATCATGTTGATTATTACCATCATCTCCATTTGAGTCATCATCATTAACATTTATCCTCATATGAACATAATTCACGTTAAGAGACTGTAACGATTTTTTTAAAATAAAAAATACATGGACTACATACCTGATGACTGATGCACTTTTTCCATTATAACTAACTGGAATATGTTTGAAAACCTGATTACGGAATGGATTGAATGACAGATGAAGAGATTTGACTAATAGAGGAATAGGAATGGAATGTTTGAATAAACGGTTGGTCAATCACGCATGAATAAGTAATTTAAAATTTAAAAAAGATATATCATAAAATTAGGAAACTGAATCCCTAATATAACTACCATATTTGTCTTCAATTAATAACGAAAAAGGGCAATTTAGTAAGAGAAAAAATTATAATTCAACAAAAGTGTATCTCTTTACCAAACATTTACACATAAAGGTACTTATACACAAATATTTTATATTGAAGTACTTTTACATAAATAAGTATGAAAAAAATGTACCTTTTCACAATTTTTCCAAATTAATATAATAAAGTAGGTAGAATGTTTGTTTTGAGCTTTTCACGGTTCAAATCGTCTGAAGAGATTATTGATCCGAAAGTGTTCATGCAAAATTTTTCTAAGACTCCAATCTCTCTATCTTATACTAACTGATACACTAACTGATACAACTCTCTCTCCTTCTATCTCATACTCTCTCTCCTATCTCTTACACGTTTTAAACACACATTCTTCCATCTCTGATGTAACTATTTCTTAAACAGCTATATATATCTAATAATAACAAAATACATCTAATACCCACTAAAACTTTAATAACAAGAATTATTTATAACAAATTATAAGTTCATTAACATATGTCATAAGCCAGAAATTTTATTTAGGGTGGACACTTTAATTATACATTCTAATTTTTTTCCATCCTAACCAATCACATTATATAATATATTTATATTTATTATATCAAATTTTATACATGAAGTCTATTTAACATAAAAAGACCAAAAAATAATGTATGTTGTATATAAATAAAAAATTGACTAATTATCACCAATGTAAAAAATTGAAACTATTTGTCATTTTTATAATTAAAAAATATCAATTATTCACTAACAATCCATTAAATTTATTTAATAAACGATGTTCTAAATATTATCACTAAAATATTAGCATAGTAAAACTATTAAACTAAAATTTAAGAGGTAAACATATTAAAAAAATAAAAATCGATTGACACATAATAAAGGTTATAATCAATACTCGAATAAAAATAAAAGATAATTTTTTGTAGAAAAAACAAAGTCAAATGAAGATCAATTGAAAGAACTTTCACTTGCAAAAAATTATAACAAAATAAAGGTCATATGAAGAAAGCCTTATTATCATAATAAAAAAAAACTAAATAATTGAAATAAGAAAATTATAAAGTGAACACAAGTAAAAAATGTGTATAATTTTTAGAATATATAAATATAAATATACATATCATATTTTTAAAAGAAATTTGAGGATGGGCTCGTGCCCACGCTCGCCCTTGTGTAGCTCTGCCCATGTATGCAATCCTATATTCTAATTAGATTTTAGTTCTTTTTACATCTCTCTCATATTTCTCACATGTTTTAAACACACTCATCTCTCATATAATTCTATCTTTCTATCTACCTCGTTCTTACACACACACACACTCTTCTAAATGCATATAATAATAAAGTGATAGGAGTTAAAAAGTTTGGTCTGAACAGTTATATATATATAATAATAACAAAATACATCTAATACTCATTAAAATTATAATCTCTTTATATTATACTCTTATGTCTCATAAGTTTATCTCATCTCTCATATAATTCTCTCTCTCTATACACCTGCCAACACACACCAATATTTACTCTTACCCAAAAAAAAAAAGAAGATATTTTTTAGGTATAATGAGTAAATATATAAATTGTGTACATATTGATATTTTTTAAAGGCCGTGTTTTTGGAGAAGTTTTGTCAAAATTTTTTAAAAAATAGTGTTTTCAAATTGATTTTGAATTGTGTAACTAAATAAAATAATAAAAAATAAAATACTGTTTGATAATATTTATATTACATGATCGGTGCTCGAGATTTTTTGAGTTACTTAGTGTTTTTAGGCACAGGTTATTACTAGTACCTATATATTTACCGTGAATTAACATGCCAGTCCAAACTCGATCGGAAGCTCAGGGATAATTGAGATTTGAGTTTGAACAAAAGTTCGAATGAGCCCGGCCTCTGCTGCATTTTTTGCAGCTGGCCCGGTCCTGCCAATGCCTGTCCTATGAGTAAGTAGTTTCTGGCTCTCCAGTGGAGTTATAGTTGAGTACCTAGACTCGTGAAGGTATCTTATTGCCTCCATTTCAATCAGTGGTATACCACATCATGTTTCTCAGGAGGATCCCAATGCAGACCAATGGGATTGGACCATGAAAGGTGATGCACCTCACCTTTCTGGGCTGAAGGTATGGTGGAAGGAATCGGGCTGAAAGTTCCTACTAGTTTCAAAGAAATCTCATCAGGATGAGTTCAAGTTTACTAGTCACCAGAAGAATGAAGAACTATATGGACATCAGAAAATCGAGAAAGTGTCCAAAAAATAGTCTCCAAACCAGGTGACAAGACTCACAACCACAAATACTGTAAAATCATCCTTCCTGAAGTTCAGAAATTTCAAATTGCCAATTCTCCCTTGATTCCCCCGCGCCCACAAAAAAAAAAAAAAAAAAAAAAAAAGGGACAACTGATAATTATAAAACCACGAGATAAACTTATAGNCTTCCCCCCCCCCCCCCCCCCCCCCCCAAAAAAAAAAAAATAATAATAAATAAAAGACGGCCCAGTTCACAAGGTTCCAACCATTGCAGGTCTAGGGAGCGTGAAATATACGCAACCTTATTCTGCATACAGAGAGTCTGTTTCCGAGACACCCCCTTGGCTTCTCCCACCCAAAATCCCCGAGTCTTACGGGAAGAGGCGCGCACACAAGAAAAAATGGTTTAGATATATTCCAAGTAGAGCAATAAATAAGGGGTCTGAAATGTTCAAAGTGATAGAGAAATCGATCAGAAGCAAATCTGAAAGCAAAGGACAGGTAAATAACTGAAGAGAAAAAATTTGGAATGGTTGGTGGCCTTTACCGTGGTTGCAGTGTTTGCGGTGTGGTCCATCAGGGCAGAAACACAGTGTGTCATTGGTGAATCCACAACGACCACCGCTTCTGTTGCATTCAGCGCAACTAATTGCAGTACTCCTTTCTAGTGTAAATCCATTTTTCAGCAGAGTTGTGTAGTCTATAGTCTCCAATGTTTGATTCTGCTGCCCTCCCTCCAACTCAACTGGTGCGGCAACATAAGACTGACAAGGCATTGCATCACAGTTGATGGAGTCTTTTCCGGTTTCCAAAACCACGTAAGAGTGAATGGAGGCATTGGAAAAACAAGAAATTGGATGTTGGGTGTAATCGATAGGGAAGGAATTGTTGCAGTCATAGAAAAGGTATAGATTAACAAAGTTGGGGCCAAATCTGAAGGAAAATCGGTCGAAAGAAAAAAATTGAAGAGGAGCAATGCATTTAGAATCTAAAACCTCAACATTGAACAAGTGAAATAACAGGTTCTCATAGCAGATGTCTTCAATAATGTATTTACTCTTGGATGTCTCAAACACAGGCTCATTATCTTCACAGGAAACCTCAATCCTGGGTAGCCACAGAAATCTATTTTGTTGAAACTGAGCTGGAAAGGGTAGCTTATGTCTGGACCAGTTCCGCAGTTTCTAGGCTGACATGCTACATATCTCCAATCTACTGATTCAACCGCCTCGACTGAGGCGCTGTGAATCAGGTAATTGATCGCAACATAGATGAAAGTTTTGAATTTGAGCAAGGTAAGCCAACCCATTAGAGCAGAAGTGGAGGGAGATTAACAAGACAATTAAGATGTATGAAGGACCGGATGAAGATGTTCAAGTCAAGGTCAATGACTACATATAAGTTTTACCTCAATTGTTTATTGTTTACAAATGTTTCAGCAATGTTTTACCACATTTAAGTATTGAATTTGACCGTGTCTACAATCTTTCCTGAGATATAATTTAATAGTATGTGATTTCATTTTCAGAAGGCTAAAATATACTAAGGACTCAATTGTCCTATATACTCACAGGTCATTGTATATCCATTTGTTGACATCTTGTTTACTTCTTATTAAAATATGTACATGATTCTTCAGTTCAGACATTATCTGTGTGCAACTTGTGAAAGTGACTTTGCTCAAGGTCTTCCCCCCACATTGCAGTAAATGGTTCTGAGTTTATATTTCAAGATTTCCGTGGATAAAAACACTTTTCAATTCGGTAAACGTTTAGTTCGTCTATGATGTCTTACATAAGATTTCTACAAGGCAAGGTTGGAAGAAAATGTAAAGTTTTTGACAATTAGTTGAACTATTGAATATATTGCAGTCACAGGCCTGCAAGTGAAAGCACTTGGTCTGAATTTGAATGGTATTAGAATCAAATTTGCATGTATATTATACCATCTATATTTGAGTTGTCCTCTGTATAAATAGCCAACCACCAGAGGAAGAATTTTTAATTGTTGGGTCGCGAGCAGAAGAATTGAAATATATCAGCTGGAATTCCTTTTTTTGGATTGCAAGAAGAGTAGTTTGCTATGTTTTTTTATTTTTGTTTCGGATAAGTTAGTCTGCAATGTTTTTAACTTAATTTGAGATGTGTTAAAATTTAATATTACTTGCTTATACAACTCATTTAGAAACACAAAGGCGAATACTTGTCCAACTTTAGCACATTTTAAGATCTTCAGAAAAGAACCATTTCCATATTTTATATTGATCATTGTTGATTGTTCAATCATTATGTTAAAACTCTTTTGTTCAAATGCTATTCAGAATCAATCCAAAGGACGGGTTTAAGGATGTTACAGGGAGTTCGAGACTGAAATTCCAGGAAGAAGCACACTATCTATGTCACTCATTTTAGGACTCATAAGGCTACTTACATGAAGATGTTCTCAAAAGCTATTCCCATGTTAGTCATGGTTTAAGAACACAAACTTGACAATCGAATTGGACGGCTGTACGACAAATGGGTCAGAGTGTGGAGGAACAGTATCAGGGATATGCACACATGCTACATACAAGAAGAAAAAGAAGAACATGCAAAGAGATTCAGCCAAGTCACGCGAGACTCGCTGTTTACATAAAGTATGAAATAACATTGGATCAGAAGGAACCAAAATGAATACAACTCAAGTGTAATCGTATTGGTATCGACAGATGTTTTGAACCATGATGTCAGCAGCAATGTGGGCAGGCAACTAAGAATCATGTTCACAAACAACTAGGACCTATTCAATGATTTGACTTCTGATAATTCTGGTACAAGGATGTCATTGTTAAGAAATATAGGATTATTTTGTTTATTAAGGGTAGAATAGTCATTTACTTTCTCTGCCTTGTTTAGCTTATATATAGTCTTTTTGTATTTAGGTTAAATTACTTCTTAGTATTCAATTGAATTATGCAGTATCAATAAAACCCTAGCCTTCTCTTTTCTTATCTCTTGTATTTCTTTAGATTGTTCAACATGGTATCAGAGCCAGGTTTCATGGGACAAGACTTAATCTCAAACACAATTTACGCGGATCCGTTTAAGCAATCTGGTATTTGTTCCCTTTTTTTTGCAATCTAGTATTTGTTCTGTTTTTGCAATCTGGTTTTCTTTGTTTGTTGATTATGACTAGTGCAATAGACGATTCGTTTCAGTTTGTGAGTGTGAGGTTGGATGGAAAGAATTATTCGTATTGGAGTTATGTGATAAGAAATTTTCTTAAGGGTTAAAAGCTATGGGGATATGTTAGTGAAACTTCTGTGAAACCTAAGAATACTGATGCAGGTTATGCTGATTTGATAAATGTCTGGGAAGCAGACAATGCAAAAATTATTACTTTGATCAACAATTCTGTTGAACATTCTATAGGTACGCAGTTGGCAAAGTATGAGACAGCAAGGGAGGTTTAGGATCATCTGCAAAGGTTATTCACTCAATCAAATTTTGCAAAGCAATATCAATTGGAGCATGACATACGAGCTCTTCAACAGAAGAATATGAGTATTCAGGAGTTTTATTTTGCTATGACAGATCTTTGGGATCAATTGGCTCTTACAGAATCGGCTGAATTAAAGGCATATGGTGCCTATATTGCTCGTAGAGAGCAGCAACGGTTGGTACAGTTTTTAATGGCACTTCGTAGTGATTTTGAAGGATTTAAAGGTTCAATTTTGCATCGTTCTCCACTTCTTTCTGTTGACTAAGTTGTCAGTGAGTTATTGGTTGAAAAGATACGTCTTAAGTCTTATTCTGACAAGGGAATTCTTTCTACTTCTGATCCTTCTGTGCTAGCAGTACCTTCTAAACCATTCTCTCCTAATCAGAATAAGCCTTACACAAGGCCTGTCTTCGACGAGTGCAATTTCTGTAAGCAGAAAGGTCATTGGAAGGCTCAATGTCCTAAGTTAAGATAGCAGAATCAATCGCAGCAACAATCTCAAGTTTGGAAGTCTAGCAACCAGTCACAATCTAATGCTCCTAGACCACCTCAGGGTTACAAACCACCACAGTCTAATACTGCAACAGTAGTTTCATCAGGTCCTTTCACCGATTCTAGTACCTTGGCTGAGCAATTTCAGAAGTTTCTCTCCTTACAGCCACAAGCTATGTCTGCTTCTTCTTCAGGAGATCAGTTGCCTCATAGTTCTCCAGGTATGTCACATTCTGTATGGGTCTTGGATTCTTGTGTTTCACATCATATGTCTTCAGATTCTCCATCTTTTGCTTTTGTATCTCCTTCATCTTCTATTCCTGTTATGACTACTGATGGCACTCCTATGCCTTTAGCAGGAGTTGGTTCTGTTGTCACTCCTCACTTGTCTCTCCTTAATGTTTATCATATTCCAAAACTCACATTAAATCTTGCTTCTGTTGGTCAATTATATAATTCTAAAATTTAGTCACCTCTTCCTTGGAGCTGTGTGCATACTCTGATGCTGATCATGACAGTGATTCCACAGATCGCAAATCTGTTACTGATTTCTGTATCTTTTTGGGTGATTCTCTTATTTCTTAGAAGAACAAGAAACAATCTATTGTTTCTCAATCTTCAACCGAAGCAGAATATCGTGCTATGACATCTACTATCAAAGAGATTGTTTGGTTTCGTTGGTTACTTGCAGATATGGGAGTTTCTCTTTCTTATCCCACTCCTATGTATTGAGACAACCGGAGTTCTATTCAGATTGCTCATAACTCGATTATTCATGAACGAACTAAGCACATTGAGATCGATTATCACCTTACTCGTCATCATCTCAAGCATGGCACCATTACTTTGCCCTTGTTTCTTCTTCTTTGCAGATTGCAGATTTCTTTACCAAGTCGCATTCTATTTCCTGTTTTCGTTTTTTAGTTGGCAAACTCTCGATGTTTGTCGCTACTGCATCGTGAGTTTGAGGGGAGATGTTAAGAAATATAGGGTTATTTTGTTTATTAAGGGTAGAATAGTCATTTACTTTTCCTGCCTTGTTTAGCTTATATATAGTCTCTTTGTATTTAGGTTAAATTACTTCATAGTATTCAATTGAATTATGCAGTATCAATAAAACCCTAGCCTCCTCTTTTCTTATCTCTTGTATTTCTTTAAATTGTTTACATGTCATCCCTTATAATGTAAGTAATTTTTACCCACAACATGAATATTCTAATAATTCTGTGGAATATATTAATCAGAAGTTTTACTTCGTGAAACAAACTATAATTTCCTTCTGATGTTTATTCAAGCATTATGACCATACATAGTATAAGACGACAGCTGATCGTTCAAGCTTGCCTGGCATCTCTGTTCCAATAATTAACATCATTAGATGGAACTTCTGTTCAAAGGTCTACTAATTTGCAACTAACAAAATTTTCTTATTTATTAAAATAAAGTCCTGAGACTACGATGTTTATTTTTTATTTTTCTCAACAAGACTACAACCCTATTTTCTAGACTACAAGGCTGATAGTTGTGAGATTCGGTCGAATCGTATTTGACTCTGACTCTTTTTGTTTTTGTACCGTCTCATATTTCGTGTAAACTATGAGTCTTACGCATTTCAATCGAATCATTGTCACAGAATTAGACAACATTGTTCCACCACACTGTGATAAAACCTAGACCACTTGTCATATTAAACTCTCCTCCAATATAGCATTTTTGTACATATCGCTTGGTACCGTTCCGTGATGCAGGAATTGATGCATCTTAATGCTTCCAAGTCGATGACCGGTATTGTGACCTTAAAAGATTATTTTAGTACCGTGTTGCTAACTAAATGAAAAAACTAGAAAAATNCCTTATAATGTAAGTAATTTTTACCCACAACATGAATATTCTAATAATTCTGTGGAATATATTAATCAGAAGTTTTACTTCGTGAAACAAACTATAATTTCCTTCTGATGTTTATTCAAGCATTATGACCATACATAGTATAAGACGACAGCTGATCGTTCAAGCTTGCCTGGCATCTCTGTTCCAATAATTAACATCATTAGATGGAACTTCTGTTCAAAGGTCTACTAATTTGCAACTAACAAAATTTTCTTATTTATTAAAATAAAGTCCTGAGACTACGATGTTTATTTTTTATTTTTCTCAACAAGACTACAACCCTATTTTCTAGACTACAAGGCTGATAGTTGTGAGATTCGGTCGAATCGTATTTGACTCTGACTCTTTTTGTTTTTGTACCGTCTCATATTTCGTGTAAACTATGAGTCTTACGCATTTCAATCGAATCATTGTCACAGAATTAGACAACATTGTTCCACCACACTGTGATAAAACCTAGACCACTTGTCATATTAAACTCTCCTCCAATATAGCATTTTTGTACATATCGCTTGGTACCGTTCCGTGATGCAGGAATTGATGCATCTTAATGCTTCCAAGTCGATGACCGGTATTGTGACCTTAAAAGATTATTTTAGTACCGTGTTGCTAACTAAATGAAAAAACTAGAAAAATTCTTAATGAGTTATTTAAGTAATTTAATGCAAAAGCATATGGCAAAGACGACCCAAACTATTGCTTTCACAATCTTCACTGGTCTACTGCTGGAAAATACAGCAAGTGGCGTGGCTATATAATAATACAATTTCTATTAAAGTAAACCACTATTGAATTCAACGTTACTTACATGGTATATTTTTTATTGACTAGAATTATGTATGTGCTATAATATTTTATAATAGGCATTTGAACAAAGTTTTTACCTTAATATAATGTTTAAAAGATTTAAGAACAATTCTGTCAATTTTGAAAATGGTGCCACAAGTCTACTCAATAAATCATCCATATAAATGTGGCAAAATTTAATAGTACTAGTCATATTCACAGCAAGTCAGCCGAGAAGGTATTTAATATTGAGCAGAACTATAAAAAATTTTGGACTGCCTTGGGTGACCAAACTTAGATCTAGACTTGATGCAGCATGGTTCAAGTTTGTGATATTGGTTATCGATTCGGAGAGTTCTAAGACACATACGTTGTTTTGTCACGGCGTCGGACGATACGAGGTAAAAGAAAATGTTGAACATGACGAGATTCAATTGATATTGTGAAACCGTATAAGCTAATTTGGTGACGATAACCTGATAACTGGAGATTGATTTAGACACAACTAGGAAGATTCGACCAAGTTGTGTGAGATTCAGTGTTTATACATACCATATAATGATATTGTTTCAAAAAGTATCGAGTTGGATACCACTCGATCTACTTTGTATTGATATTGATGAATTCTTTGAACCATGTGTTGTAGAGGGTGTTGATTAGGGCAGGGATTGTCTGTTGTACGACACACCGTGCTTTTCCTAAAACGAGGAACAACATCTCTGCTGTCCACCCGTGATGACGAAGGGTTCTGTTGGGTTGGGTCTAGTCTGGCAGTCCATGTGGGTAGCCCAATCCATTGTCAATGGGTGTATGCACCATTACTCTTACTTTATAGTTTAAGGGAAAAAAGGAAAAAAAAAGGAGGGTGCGACGTGACTCACTTGGGAACAGATGATGCTTTGGCATTGAAGACTTTTGTCTTCAAGTTGAATTCCCCAGCGAGGGCCGGCATAGGCCTTAAAGCCTTCTGTCTTGCATTGAACAGTAACGAAGAGACGAAAACTGAGAAGAGGCGGGATATTTCGGATCAAAATTCGGGTAAGAAATTAACGTCAAATTTTGATGAAATTTTAGTATATTGTTCACAATGACGGGAATTACGCATCAAATCGTTTTGTCAAAAGCACTTCCAGATTGATATTTTGTAAGATCTATTAGGTGAGATTACTTATTGTTACCTTTATTGTCTGAAAATTGTTTGTAAGCCCATTAATTTGATATAGTGGAAAATTGAGTTCGGAATTTGTGGACGTATCCTAAATTTGGGGAAAGTACATAGATTTTGTATCTTAGTTGTTGTGTGATTTTATTTAATTTGCATAAAAAAGAGTATAAAATTAATTTCACTTTTTTTTTTGGTGAGTTCACCCAATCAGGTTGGAATTTAGAAACCACATTGGAAGTCATTATTAGTCAAGGATGTAGGCTGATTATAGAAACCACGACAGTCAAAGAGTTGAATAAGTCATGGGTCAGTGACAGACTAGATGGCTTCAAGAAACAATCCCACCAAACAGTGGCTTGAGCATGAATTATTGACGACACTCTCCATACAACTACGCAAGTACCACAGTTCTAATGGGTATGGGTATGACCCAGTATTCAGATCCAGATTCGCTAACCCATGTTGTATACAGACTGAACTTGAACCTTAACTAGGAAGATGACATTATGATATAGAATGTGTGGCTGAAACATATCTACACACACAGACAATACACCAGCAAACCCTTCTTATTTTATTTCATGGTAGTTGGTAGTGTGACAATGTTATATATATATAAATTAGTGCTCTGTCCCGTGCAATGCACGGGATTATAATGCAAGTTTTTTTTTTTTATATTAGTTAATTTATCATTTTTTTTCCTTTCAGAAGTTAGAAAAGATCATTATAAACGATTTTTAGGTGATAAAAATAATTTTTTAAAAATAATTTTTAAAAAATAGGGGTTGATTATTGGAGGAGTTGAGAGATGGTTACAAATGACACATAATAGTGTTTCATTGGAAGGAATTTTAGGTTTTGAATTAAAAAATTTTAAATTCTACAAAATTAAGAAATCGGGATTATAATTCGTGCTTTTTTTTTAATTTTTTATTTTATCAATTGACAAGTCAAATAAATAATTACATAAAATTTTTGAGTGATAAAAATGGTAGTTAGTTATTGAGGAGTTGATGAGTCTACCAATAACATATGGAAGTCTTATGTTTTAAATTTAAAAATTCTAAATTCTAAGAAATGAAGAAAGTGGGAGGAAAGACTTCTCAATCCACCTCCCACTTAATTTGATTCTTTTATAATATCGTAAGATGTGCGTGTGTGTGTGTATGCGCACGAATGTGTGTATTATGCATATTTTTAAGTAAGGTTTGTTTTGTCTTTTTTTTTTTTGGTCCCTTTTTTGTAAGAGTAATTGCATGTAAAATAGTATACATATAACTGCACTTATACACTTACATGAATATAGATCATATTTATAAAAAATAACAATTAGACATGGTTTTGTTTTTTAACAAAATTATATTTTATGTAAAGAAAAGTTTTAAAAAAAAATTACAAAATGATACATAAATCTTTCTTAAATGATGCTTGTCACTTGATTATAGGGTGACGTGAGCATTGTGCGATGCACAAAAATTGTATCTCACGTGTGATCTTGAGAGAGGATAGCTTCAAGTAACGTAGACGAGGGAATTTCAAAAGTTCAATAAAGATGAATACATTTTTTTGAGTAGCAAGACTCATTCGAATCGAGTAGTCATGAATTATTTTTTTAGTTACAATTAAAATTTTATAAAAATTTAACAGTTGCTTAGGAAAAATCCAAATCTATGAAGTATGATATAGTGGATTAGGATTTGAATATTTGATCAAAAAAAATCCACTCATGTCCCGCTAATTGAATTAAGATCTAGAAAGAACTTAGACTAAAATCTGATTCATTGACATACCTATGTGGCGAGAGAGATTTTTTGCGAAGCCAATAATAGAAACTGTAATTATCTACACTCGGTTGAAGGTGAAGACAGTACAGGACCCTCCCCTGTCCTAGTTGTAGGGACGGTAAACCCACAAGTCCAAGAATTCGAAGAACTGACAGTACAAAACAGGTTTCTACCTAAATAATAAGACACCATATTGATGTGATATTAGAAGCCAGAGAGAAATTGCAGTTAGCATTTGTGGGTTGATCCTCAATTCATCAATAAGACTACAGTCCAAAACCCATAGATAACAAAGTACAGCCTAGGGTACATACTAATTGTCACATACCAGCATTTTTTAGGTTAGCATATTAAGTCATTCTGGTGAGAGAGAGAGAGATAAACAGCATAAGTAGAGATAGGAAGAGAGAGAAAACTTACTTGGAGTGCAACGCCAAGCATGAGGCCGATCAGGGCAGTAACACCTGAAATTGTAGATATCCAGATCAAACCCACAACGCCCACCACTTTCCTTGCACACACTACAATCTGCCGCTTTCCAATTCACCAAGAACCCTCTTCTCAGCAACTCCACATAGTTCCCAACTCCATTCCTCTCATCTCCTCCGTACAGCTCCACCGGCGCCACCACCCCCGCGCCACACTTTTCCACCGCCAAACTCAAGTTTCTGTCGTCCCCAAACATTGCCAGATCCCAATCACCTCCATTCTCAGCCTCACAACGAATCTCGTACCTCGAGAGTTCCATCGGCAATGGCGGTGTACAATTTGAAAACAAAAATAGGCTTGAACTATTATCAAACACAAAGCCATCACTTTCAAGAGTCACATTCCCTATCTGTGGAAGACAGCCTGCACTCATATCTGAATCTGACCCAAAAACAGCTGCGTTGGACACACGAAGAGAGTTGTTGTTGTAGCAAATATCTTGAACTATATAGTCATTGTCTGGTGTCTTAAGCACTGGATGTGGATAGCCGCTATAGTTGCTGCAAGTGAGCTCAAATCTAGGGAACCCACAAAATGGTTCTTGGAGGCCTTTGATGAAAAAGGGGTAGCTTATGTTTTGTACATCACCGCAGTCTTTGGGCACACAGGCTTCATATTTTGGGTGTACAGACAAAGTTTTCTCCAAAAGAAGGATGAAAGTGAATATGCAGAGGTTTGAAGACAGGATAAGGGTGGACAACCAGTTTTGATTCATTTTTGGGTATCTTCAAGTTGTGTGGAAGATATAGATAATGAAGATGATATGCAGAGAGAGAGAGAGAGAGAGAGAGAGAGAGAGGATGGGGTTGATTCACTTGGCGTGGTGTCTATGGCTGTGCCAAAACGAGTCGGCTGTCCATATCTGCCTTATATCTTGGACTATTGAATTTATGGCTATTGCCTAAGTGGGTCAACTAACCAAAGCCGAATGAATTGACCAATGTGTTCTTAGTTTTTTTTTTTTTTTTTTTGATAAATAAATGACCAATGTGTTCTTAGGCCAATGTATATAACTTCTTTTCAAGGAGTTGACAAATGGTTAGAGATGGAACTGAATTTTAGTTTGATTGCTATACTATAAAATATTTCAAATTTTTTATACTAATATTTAATTATCAGAAATTAGTATAATAAAATTGCATATGAAACTAAACTTTTTATAATGAAGTTATATTTTTTGAAGTTAAAGATATAATTTGATCTTATAATTATAACTTATAATTGGATTAAGTTATAATTCATATAGTACCGTAATAATTCAATAGAATTCAAAATTTTCGGAGTCCAAACTACAGTATTAGAATTTAAAAGTTTAGAATTGATCTCAACTTTTTAAATTCAACCCTATTGAAATATAACTTATATTCTATTTAAATCGTAACTTAATGGCTTTTAGTCATAAATTTTGGTGCAAAATATGGTGGGTTTCACCACTTGCATATAGAAGACCCGTCTCGTAATTTGCACGGCCAAGAAAGTCCACCACAAGTTTAAACTATTTTCTGCGAATATATGATGGGCTTCGCTCAGTGGCGGATTTAGCATGGGGCAGCTCCACTGAAATTTTAAAAAATTTTAGAATTTAGGTGTACTTTTAAAAATTTCAAGAATTTGCCCCCATTGAAATTTTTTTAAAGTATAGGATATATTAATATAATTTTCAACCCTTAAAAGCTAATTTTTGGTAACTCTTCCTCATTTTTTACGCCTAGCAGTTGCCCCCCACAAAAATTTCAAAAAATTTTGAGACTTAAGTATAATTTTAAAAATTTCAAGAATTTTTTAAACTTATCCCACTAAAATTTTCTTAAAGTATAAAATATATTAATATAATTTTAAACCTTTAAAAGCTAACTTTTGACAACTCTTTTTCACGCTTGCTTTTTCTTTTTTCGTTAGCCTTCGTCTTCTTTGTCCAGACTTCTAGTCTAGTCCAGGCGTCCAGTTGGCAGCCCCTCTTCTTTCTTTTGTTTAGTTTCTTTATTAGTTCATTTGGTGCATTCATCAACAAATCATCCTATTGGATTCAATCATTGTGCAAATCAAATTTGAAGAAATCCTAGAATATTATATTAAAGCTAATGAGAGGTAATTCATTAACCAAATTTTTTGATAGTAGTATTTGAACTAATCTAAAATTAGACTTTTTATATTAGAAAATTAGTTTAACTCTTGTAGAATTGATGGTTGTTTGATCTATTATTTATGGACTCATGTAGGTTATAGGTGTTTTTTTTGTTTTGTCTTACGTCACCACTCAACTATTTTGAATTTTTGTTAAAACTCATGTTTAGATTGACTATTTGAGATTTTTGGTTAGTGCTATTTTTTTTTTCTATGATTAAATTGTTTTAATAGATTTCTTGAAATTCTAGTTGAGATTATATTTTAGATTTATAGATTATATTTTAATTGTGTGTAGTCCATTATTTCATTTGCTATAAACTTAATCCCAAACTTTTAAACTTGAATTTAATTAGACAAATTTATTTTTTAATCAATTATGAATAAATTACCTCCACCGAGACAAAATCCCAATTCCACTCCGGACTTCACTACTTGCATAGAACCCTGTTATGCAAGTGGAAGGAAAATTAGGGGTAAAGTTGGAAACACCACATGTTCTACGGTCTACGAACCACATTTATACGTAGTCAGTTGTGTTAGGAAGGTTTCTTTTTCGTACGGGCTATTAGGGCTCTTAAACGATTCAAACGGGTTAGAGTCGGCTCAATTTTAATTTGACTTGAAGTTGCTCATATTATAAAATGAACAAATTCTAAATAAATTTTTAAACTCATTTAATATTCGAACCGAACTTGGACGATTGCCAAACTGGCTCGTTTTTTCTACTTGTACATAACATACATATAAATTTATATACATCTTAAGGTTATTTCAATAAAATTAACTAAAATTTTAAGTTTGTATGTTATACATATAAATTTAAATTTGTATGTTTTTTGTTGTGATTTAGAGGTATTTTATGCTTAAATTTGTGTTAAAATTTAATGTGTACGCATTTTTTGTGAAATTTTTTGATTGGATATTTGAAATTTGTGGGTTTGAATTTTTTTTGAATAACTTATTTTTTGCTCAAATTCAGCTCAAATTTAATTTGAACTGAGCTTGAACAATATTTTAAGCTCAATAAGCAAGCTTGAGATGAGCCAAGCCTCAACATAGCCAAGTTTGAAAGACTCAATTCGATTAACAATCTTATGATATATAACTTGTAATTTTATCTTATACTTTAGTGAAGGATTTGATGTTTAGCTCTATAAAATGCAAATCGACTAAGAAGAGTAAGGCTATTGAAACTTAAAACATTGATCTAATTTATCGACATAATAAAACAAAGGACCAAAGGGGCACAATAAATTGAGATGTAAGAATTAGAGATTGTTGCGGAAACTTTCGACGAATTTGGCTATTGACAGCATGGGAATACTTGTAATATAAGGGATTTTTTTTTTACTAATTTCTACTGTTATGTGTATTTAGAGAATTTTTAATTTACCAAAAAACTATGAGTATTAGTTGAAAGATAATGAAACCTTTTTTTTTTGAAAAAAAAAAAAAACTAATTCAATTTGGAACGGATTTTCAGTTGGTTTGAATTTAGATTGATATCAAAGTTTTGATTCAAATTTAATTCCAATATCTAAGAAATTTTATTTTCAGGGTACATATTTTTTTTTTTGAATTGGAAACATTAGTATTTATTAGGAAAATATATATTGGTTACAATCAGTTTAACGGAACATACAGAAGTCTCTTGAAGGGCTACTGACCCAATAAAGAGGTAATGAGTGGTTCAAAAATTCTGATGCTATCCAATGTGCTAGCTTGTTGAGCGCCCTTAGAATTTGAACAAAATTCAAGATACAATCTTTCGTCGCTTGTCTGATCTCTTTTATGATAACTGCAATTTTCCACGGAGGCACGTCCTCGTTTGAGCTTAGTTGAATGACTTTGGTATTATCATTCTCTATGGTAGTTGGTGGTGCTCGAAATCGATTGGACTGATCTGCTGAACAACTTGGAAAATGGCACAGTGAGTACGTGTGTATGCATGAGTATATGTGTGTGTGATACATGTATGATGCAAGATGAAAATAATAGTATGAATGATTCGTCTTAGCCGAAGGACTAACATTACATTCACCGTAATTGAGGCTCTTATTTTTTAGAGAAAAATATTGTTATTACAAAATGTTTGACTTGAAGCCTTTTACAAGATATTGCCTAGTTTACTATTTGGTAGTTTTCTAAATGACTCTCTCTGTAGCATCGTTAGCTATTTAAATATCTGATTGTTAAGGTTTTGTGTTAATCATTTTTTACTAATTATGTAGTTCTCTGAGTATTTGTTTTATTATTGGAGTTGTGGTCCCTGACGCCTTTTTACATCTACTACTCGCTGGCTGTAGTATATGAGTTATCTCTACTATCGGTGGATTTTCATTCATCAGAATTGTCAGGTAATATCCCCTTGTCTCTTATCCAGGTGTCATGTTGCAACTCTTGCAAACTGGCGTGGTGTTGTGCTCCCATTCTCCAAGTTGGTACATATATCGAGCTCATTTGCGTCAAGCCTCCATGTAATTGGGTCGTGGTTCAGCTCGAGTCCAATGAATGCTGTTTAGATGAGATGCTTGGGCTACCTTTTGTGAGCCCAGAGAATTTTGTGCTCTAGAAGAGTTCAAAGTTAAATTCATCATCATCAGTCGTATTAACCAGCTCCATAGGGATGGCCATAGGACAATCTTCCCTAACTGTCACCGCCTCCGAGAAACGAATAGAAACTAGAGGAACAGTAAATCGTCCTTCCTCTAACAATCCCTTTTGTGATTTCTCACTATGATGCTAGCTTAGGCTTTTTTGACTCGGACCTCTATAGGCACATCACCTCTATAGGCTTTTTGACTCGAAATCTTAGTCTTTTGTTGTTCAGAACGACTTCGGTTCTGTATTTTGTGATGCTCTACAATTGCTTGTAAAGGTGTATTAGTGTTTCGTTGTTGGATAGAGCAGACGCCTTCCCAAGCTGATAAAAAATGAAAATCCAATTTAAAAACTTTGTTCCCATTCGAATAACTTATGAAAACTAAATTTTACCTAAATGCATACAATTCATTTAGTAATCACTCAAAATAATTGTATATTTACATAAAATTCTTGCATAATCATAAACCGATTGGTTATGAGTGTGTTTGTATATGAATCCGTGAAAGATGGCATAACGAATTCAGATTCAAATTCGAATTTGGATAATCGATAAAAAAATCACTTTATATTTTGGATTAGTAAGAATTCAATTGGATTGGATTTGGATCGATCCAATCCATTGGCATGCCTAAAAATGACCGTCCTCTCTCATGGTCTAAGTTCCTCTTTTGGGTCTTAAATTTTTCGACTCTCTCAATTCTAAAGAATCTATTGTATATTAGAATGAGACTCGTCTAAATATAATACATCCCAATATGTTGGGTAATTTAGAATTACAACAATTTAGTAAAGGATTCGAGTCATCCCACTCAGTATGGAGAAGTAAAGATTTGACATCAATAAAAATATTGATCTAGTCGATACAAATGATAGAATAGAAAATGAGCAACTACTGTGTTTGGAAAAATGTGTTAATGGGATAGGAAGTTAGTGGTGGTGGTGGTGAACAAAGCTTCAAAGTTGCTCATGATTAAGGATAATTTTGTAAGAGGTGTGTACGTTCGTTTGCCCTTACAATAATGTATTGATAGTTATGGGTGTTTCCGATTTTAATCTTTGTTGGATGGA